TGCTGGCAGCGGGAGGATGTAACTTAAATACTTTTGCTCAAGTACCCGCACCTCAGAGGTAGTACTGTACTTTATACTGCACCAGTGGAAACCCCGTATCTCCGGGTGACAACCTGCAGGGTGAAGAGTTCCTCCTGCTCCAGCTGAATGAACTCTTTAAACCCTCCTCAGTGCATCGTCGCCACGCATGATGATCCTATAGACCATGATGCATTGCTGCAGATTAAACTAGCCTGCAGGAAATAAAGGAGTTAAAATGCAGCATCCACATTAATGCAGCAGGAATATTAATCCAGAAGCATCAGATATAACAGAGAACGTTTCACTGCAACATGAGTACTTTAAGTACGTTTAGCTGATAATACTGACATATTTTTACTGAAGGAAGGTTTTTAATGCAGGACTTTTACCTTCACAGTGTGGTATTAGTACTGGTACTGCAGTAAAGGAGCACTGCTGACTGTGTTGTTGTGTTGCAGGCGGCCTGTGCTCTCTGACCATAGACAAAGCTCTGCCCGAGGACGAAGGCCAGTATAAATGCAGAGCAGAGAACTCAGCCGGCAAAGCAGAATGTTCCTGTATGGTTCTAGTCGACGGTAAGAACTGAAGTATTCCTGTTGACACCTTCTGATACGGCAAAGAGAAATGATTTGTCTGTTGTTTGCAAACACTTTAAATAGCACCAGGGATTAAATTTTCATCACATATGAATAACGAAACGCCGTCTCAACTTCATTCGGCCGTTAATGAGTTTAACTGTCTTCATCTTCTCTATTCGTGTTTGCTGTTCCTCTTCCTCAGTTTGTCCCGACGATCTCGGTCAAATCTTTATTTACCAGTGTGACCGAAGGGATGTAAACATCTGCAGCCCCAAATATTTCTTGCATTTCCTGTCTTCAAGCAAAGAAAAACAGTCATTTCTGTTGTTTACGCCACAGTGAACTGCCCCTCTGTCCTAAATATACAAAACTCCCTTTAACAAATCTGGGACTTTAATTTGTCTTGGTCTATATGGACATTAGACGTTAAATCTGAAACTTATTCTTATTTGTAATCATTTTGTCTTTAATCTGGCTGTTAATTAAAACATTTTCCATCTTCATAATTCAGTTTGTAAATATTTGCAAACCCAACAATGTCTGAATTCTAGAAACAGGCTCTGATTTGGGTTTTTTTTCTTAGTGTTTACGACCCAAACACATTTGCTCCTTCTGTGAAACTTGTGGCTGTGAATGCACATTAAACATTATCTTATATTTAAAATGCACTTGTTTTGTATTTAATTTGGCCAATAATTTACACTTTCATGTTTAAATTCATCTCTAAAAACATGGACCTGTATCATTTCTGTTTGCCGACGTGTTAAAGAACATGTGAACACTCCAGATTAGAACCGGAAACATCCTGAACATGGTCCAGAACACCTGTGGCTGTATGCACGTACTGTACACTGCATGCAGAACTGTAGAACTGCAGAACTGCAGAACTGAGCAGAACTGTAGAACTGCAGAACTGAGCAGAACAGAGCAGAACAGAGCAGAACTGAGTAGAACTGTAGAACTGCAATTCTGTAGAACTGTAGAACTGCAGAACAGAGCAGAACTGCAGAACTACAGAACTGCAGAACTGTAAAACTGTAGAACTGCAGAACTGAGCAGAACAGAGCAGAACTGTAGAACTGCAGAAATGTAGAACTGAGCAGAACTGCAGAATTACAGAACTGCAGAACTGTAGAACTGCAGAACTGTAGAACTCCAGAACTGAGCAGAACAGAGCAGAACTGTAGAAATGCAGAAGAGCAGAACTGTAGAACTGCAGAACTGTAGAACTGAGTAGAACTGTAGAACTGAGCAGAACTGCAGAACTACAGAACTGCAGAACTGTAAAACTGTAGAACTGCAGAACTGAGCAGAACAGAGCAGAACTGTAGAACTGCAGAACTGTAGAACTGAGCAGAACAGAGCAGAACTGCAGAACTACAGAACTGTAGAACTGTAGAACTGCAGAACTGAGCAGAACAGAGCAGAACTGCAGAACTACAGAACTGTAGAACTGTAGAACTGCAGAACTGAGCAGAACAGAGCAGAACTGTAGAACTGAGCAGAACTGCAGAACTGAGCAGAACTACAGAACTGTAGAACTGTAGAACTGTAGAACTGCAGAACTGAGCAGAACAGAACAGAGCAGAACTGTAGAACTGCAGAACTGAGCAGAACTACAGAACTGTAGAACTGCAGAACTGTAGAACTGTAGAACTGAGCAGAACTGCAGAACTACAGAACTGCAGAACTGTAGAACTGCAGAACTGTAGAACTGTAGAACTGAGCAGAACTGCAGAACTGTAGAACTGCAGAACTGTAGAACTGCAGAACTGAGCAGAACAGAGCAGAACTGTAGAACTGCAGAACTGAGCAGAACTGTAGAACTGTAGAACTGCAGAACTGAGCAGAACTACAGAACTGCAGAACTGTAGAACTGTAGAACTGAGCAGAACTGCAGAACTACAGAACTGTAGAACTGCAGAACTGTAGAACTGTAGAACTGAGCAGAACTGCAGAACTGTAGAACTGCAGAACTGAGCAGAACAGAGCAGAACTGCAGAACTGTAAAACTGCAGAACTGTAGAACTGCAGAACTGAGCAGAACTGAACAGAACTGCAGAACTGTAAAACTGCAGAACTGTAGAACTGAGCAGAACTGTAGGACTGCAGAACTGAACAGAACTGTAGAACTGCAGAACTGAGCAGAACAGAGCAGAACTGTAGAACTGCAGAACTGAGCAGAACTACAGAACTGCAGAACTGTAGAACTGAGCAGAACTGCAGAACTACAGAACTGTAGAACTGCAGAACTGTAGAACTGAGCAGAACTGCAGAACTGTAGAACTGCAGAACTGTAGAACTGCAGAACTGAGCAGAACAGAGCAGAACTGCAGAACTGTAAAACTGCAGAACTGTAGAACTGCAGAACTGAGCAGAACTGAACAGAACTGCAGAACTGTAAAACTGCAGAACTGCAGAACTGTAGAACTGCAGAACTGTAGAACTGTAGAACTGAGCAGAACTGTAGAACTGAGCAGAACTGCAGAACTGTAGAACTGCAGAACTGTAGAACTGCAGAACTGAGCAGAACAGAGCAGAACTGTAGAACTGCAGAACTGAGCAGAACTGTAGAACTGTAGAACTGCAGAACTGAGCAGAACTACAGAACTGCAGAACTGTAGAACTGTAGAACTGAGCAGAACTGCAGAACTACAGAACTGTAGAACTGCAGAACTGTAGAACTGTAGAACTGAGCAGAACTGCAGAACTGTAGAACTGCAGAACTGAGCAGAACAGAGCAGAACTGCAGAACTGTAAAACTGCAGAACTGTAGAACTGCAGAACTGAGCAGAACTGAACAGAACTGCAGAACTGTAGAACTGCAGAACTGTAGAACTGAGCAGAACTGTAGGACTGCAGAACTGAACAGAACTGTAGAACTGCAGAACTGAGCAGAACAGAGCAGAACTGTAGAACTGCAGAACTGAGCAGAACTACAGAACTGCAGAACTGTAGAACTGAGCAGAACTGCAGAACTACAGAACTGTAGAACTGCAGAACTGTAGAACTGTAGAACTGAGCAGAACTGCAGAACTGTAGAACTGCAGAACTGTAGAACTGCAGAACTGAGCAGAACAGAGCAGAACTGCAGAACTGTAAAACTGCAGAACTGTAGAACTGCAGAACTGAGCAGAACTGAACAGAACTGCAGAACTGTAAAACTGCAGAACTGCAGAACTGTAGAACTGCAGAACTGTAGAACTGTAGAACTGAGCAGAACTGTAGAACTGCAGAACTGAACAGAACTGTAGAACTGCAGAACTGAGCAGAACAGAGCAGAACTGAACAGAACTGTAGAACTGAGCAGAACTACAGAACTGCAGAACTACAGAACTGCAGAACCGCCTGCTGAAACTGCGAAAAGTCACATTTTCTAGATAACAGATTTTCTAGACCCCCCCCCCCCTCCCCCTCCCCGTTGGGGTTTCCTGTCATTAAAATAAATCAACACAAACCAGCTCTGTGGTTATCAAACATCTCTGAATTAGATTCCTGGACACGAGTGTTAGCATAGTTAGCATAGTTAGCATATTCAGCTGAGGCCATTTTCATTCGATCTACAGCAGACTGAGCTGCTGGTGAGAACGTGCTGAAAGGTTCTGCTTTGTTTTTGCACTTGTTCATGCTTTCACTCATTGTCACACCTGCTGCTGAACACAGACTGTTTCTGCTGCTCCCTGATAAAAGACAAATGTTCCCTTCACTTCAACAAACTGAAACTGTTCATCTTTCTCTCTCTCTCTGTCTCTCTGTGTCTCTCGTCCTCCTGCAGACCCAGCAGAAAACTCTCCAGCTGACAAAAAGTCCAAGAAGGCGACTCCGACCTCCGAGAGTGAGTTTCCAAAATATGCAGCAGCAGCAGCCTCTTCCCTTTTGTCCCAATAAGGAGCTGCAGGCTGGGATCACTGGTTCCCACACACACACACACACACACACACACACAGGTTTCTATTTTAAAGCGTCTCTGTGCATCATTGAAAACATCTCTACGTTTAGACCACGTTTCCCATCAGCCCCGCTGCTTCATGCCCCCCCAAACAGTTACTACTGTATTGTGATTGGTTGGTTTCTGGTCGTACAGGTGAAGTGATTCTGCAGGTTTCTGTGGTCGTACAGGTGAAGTGGCTCTGCTGGTTTCTGGTCGTACAGGTGAAGTGGCTCTGCTGGTTTCTGTGGTCGTACAGGTGAAGTGGCTCTGCTGGTTTCTGGTCGTACAGGTGAAGTGGCTCTGCTGGTTTCTGGTCGTACAGGTGAAGTGATTCTGCTGGTTTCTGGTCGTACAGGTGAAGTGGCTCTGCTGGTTTCTGGTCGTACAGGTGAAGTGATTCTGCTGGTTTCTGTGGTCGTACAGGTGAAGTGGCTCTGCTGGTTTCTGGTCGTACAGGTGAAGTGATTCTGCTGGTTTCTGGTCGTACAGGTGAAGTGGCTCTGCTGGTTTCTGGTCGTACAGGTGAAGTGGCTCTGCTGGTTTCTGGTCGTACAGGTGAAGTGGCTCTGCTGGTTTCTGGTCGTACAGGTGAAGTGATTCTGCTGGTTTCTGTGGTCGTACAGGTGAAGTGATTCTGCTGGTTTCTGGTCGTACAGGTGAAGTGATTCTGCTGGTTTCTGGTCGTACAGGTGAAGTGATTCTGCTGGTTTCTGTGGTCGTACAGGTGAAGTGGCTCTGCTGGTTTCTGGTCGTACAGGTGAAGTGGCTCTGCTGGTTTCTGGTCGTACAGGTGAAGTGATTCTGCTGGTTTCTGGTCGTACAGGTGAAGTGGCTCTGCTGGTTTCTGGTCGTACAGGTGAAGTGACTCTGCTGGTTTCTGGTCGTACAGGTGAAGTGATTCTGCTGGTTTCTGTGGTCGTACAGGTGAAGTGGCTCTGCTGGTTTCTGGTCGTACAGGTGAAGTGGCTCTGCTGGTTTCTGGTCGTACAGGTGAAGTGACTCTGCTGGTTTCTGGTCGTACAGGTGAAGTGGCTCTGCTGGTTTCTGTGGTCGTACAGGTGAAGTGATTCTGCTGGTTTCTGGTCGTACAGGTGAAGTGATTCTGCTGGTTTCTGGTCGTACAGGTGAAGTGATTCTGCTGGTTTCTGTGGTCGTACAGGTGAAGTGGCTCTGCTGGTTTCTGGTCGTACAGGTGAAGTGATTCTGCTGGTTTCTGGTCGTACAGGTGAAGTGATTCTGCTGGTTTCTGTGGTCGTACAGGTGAAGTGGCTCTGCTGGTTTCTGGTCGTACAGGTGAAGTGATTCTGCTGGTTTCTGTGGTCGTACAGGTGAAGTGGCTCTGCTGGTTTCTGGTCGTACAGGTGAAGTGGTTCTGCTGGTTTCTGTGGTCGTACAGGTGAAGTGATTCTGCTGGTTTCTGGTCGTACAGGTGAAGTGGCTCTGCTGGTTTCTGTGGTCGTACAGGTGAAGTGATTCTGCTGGTTTCTGGTCGTACAGGTGAAGTGGCTCTGCTGGTTTCTGTGGTCGTACAGGTGAAGTGATTCTGCTGGTTTCTGGTCGTACAGGTGAAGTGATTCTGCTGGTTTCTGGTCGTACAGGTGAAGTGGCTCTGCTGGTTTCTGGTCGTACAGGTGAAGTGATTCTGCTGGTTTCTGATCGTACAGGTGAAGTGATTCTGCTGGTTTCTGGTCGTACAGGTGAAGTGATTCTGCTGGTTTCTGGTCGTACAGGTGAAGTGATTCTGCTGGTTTCTGGTCGTACAGGTGAAGTGACTCTGCTGGTTTCTGGTCGTACAGGTGAAGTGATTCTGCTGGTTTCTGGTCGTACAGGTGAAGTGGCTCTGCTGGTTTCTGGTCGTACAGGTGAAGTGGCTCTGCTGGTTTCTGGTCGTACAGGTGAAGTGACTCTGCTGGTTTCTGGTCGTACAGGTGAAGTGGCTCTGCTGGTTTCTGGTCGTACAGGTGAAGTGATTCTGCAGGTTTCTGGTCGTACAGGTGAAGTGGCTCTGCTGGTTTCTGGTCGTACAGGTGAAGTGATTCTGCTGGTTTCTGGTCGTACAGGTGAAGTGACTCTGCTGGTTTCTGGTCGTACAGGTGAAGTGGCTCTGCTGGTTTCTGTGGTCGTACAGGTGAAGTGATTCTGCTGGTTTCTGGTCGTACAGGTGAAGTGATTCTGCTGGTTTCTGGTCGTACAGGTGAAGTGATTCTGCTGGTTTCTGGTCGTACAGGTGAAGTGATTCTGCTGGTTTCTGGTCGTACAGGTGAAGTGATTCTGCTGGTTTCTGGTCGTACAGGTGAAGTGACTCTGCTGGTTTCTGGTCGTACAGGTGAAGTGATTCTGCTGGTTTCTGGTCGTACAGGTGAAGTGATTCTGCTGGTTTCTGGTCGTACAGGTGAAGTGGCTCTGCTGGTTTCTGGTCGTACAGGTGAAGTGACTCTGCTGGTTTCTGGTCGTACAGGTGAAGTGTCTCTGCTGGTTTCTGGTCGTACAGGTGAAGTGACTCTGCTGGTTTCTGGTCGTACAGGTGAAGTGATTCTGCTGGTTTCTGGTCGTACAGGTGAAGTGACTCTGCTGGTTTCTGGTCGTACAGGTGAAGTGGCTCTGCTGGTTTCTGTGGTCGTACAGGTGAAGTGTCTCTGCTGGTTTCTGGTCGTACAGGTGAAGTGTCTCTGCTGGTTTCTGGTCGTACAGGTGAAGTGACTCTGCTGGTTTCTGGTCGTACAGGTGAAGTGACTCTGCTGGTTTCTGGTCGTACAGGTGAAGTGACTCTGCTGGTTTCTGGTCGTACAGGTGAAGTGATTCTGCTGGTTTCTGGTCGTACAGGTGAAGTGACTCTGCTGGTTTCTGGTCGTACAGGTGAAGTGGCTCTGCTGGTTTCTGGTCGTACAGGTGAAGTGACTCTGCTGGTTTCTGGTCGTACAGGTGAAGTGTCTCTGCTGGTTTCTGGTCGTACAGGTGAAGTGTCTCTGCTGGTTTCTGGTCGTACAGGTGAAGTGGCTCTGCTGGTTTCTGGTCGTACAGGTGAAGTGACTCTGCTGGTTTCTGGTCGTACAGGTGAAGTGACTCTGCTGGTTTCTGGTCGTACAGGTGAAGTGGCTCTGCTGGTTTCTGGTCGTACAGGTGAAGTGTCTCTGCTGGTTTCTGGTCGTACAGGTGAAGTGGCTCTGCTGGTTTCTGGTCGTACAGGTGAAGTGACTCTGCTGGTTTCTGGTCGTACAGGTGAAGTGTCTCTGCTGGTTTCTGGTCGTACAGGTGAAGTGACTCTGCTGGTTTCTGGTCGTACAGGTGAAGTGGCTCTGCTGGTTTCTGGTCGTACAGGTGAAGTGACTCTGCTGGTTTCTGGTCGTACAGGTGAAGTGTCTCTGCTGGTTTCTGGTCGTACAGGTGAAGTGGCTCTGCTGGTTTCTGGTCGTACAGGTGAAGTGTCTCTGCTGGTTTCTGGTCGTACAGGTGAAGTGGCTCTGCTGGTTTCTGGTCGTACAGGTGAAGTGACTCTGCTGGTTTCTGGTCGTACAGGTGAAGTGTCTCTGCTGGTTTCTGGTCGTACAGGTGAAGTGACTCTGCTGGTTTCTGGTCGTACAGGTGAAGTGACTCTGCTGGTTTCTGGTCGTACAGGTGAAGTGACTCTGCTGGTTTCTGGTCGTACAGGTGAAGTGACTCTGCTGGTTTCTGGTCGTACAGGTGAAGTGTCTCTGCTGGTTTCTGGTCGTACAGGTGAAGTGGCTCTGCTGGTTTCTGGTCGTACAGGTGAAGTGTCTCTGCTGGTTTCTGGTCGTACAGGTGAAGTGACTCTGCTGGTTTCTGGTCGTACAGGTGAAGTGACTCTGCTGGTTTCTGGTCGTACAGGTGAAGTGACTCTGCTGGTTTCTGGTCGTACAGGTGAAGTGTCTCTGCTGGTTTCTGGTCGTACAGGTGAAGTGACTCTGCTGGTTTCTGGTCGTACAGGTGAAGTGACTCTGCTGGTTTCTGGTCGTACAGGTGAAGTGTCATTTAAAACTCAGATGCTTTGTGTTGTGATAATCTGATCAGCTCGTTTTTGCTCGATCGTTTCCTCCTCTAGGTTTTTTTGAATTCAAGCAACTCATTACAGTTTCTATATATTTATTTTCCACATTTGAACCAACATTTCCGGTAAAGTGTTCCGTGTTTTTCCCTCTGTTACAGATCAACAGACAGTTTAATGTTGTGTCGTCAGGTCTCCGTGGAAACTCTGCTCTTATCTTTATGATCCTAATCCTTCCTCTGTGTGTGTGGGGGGGGGGGGTACTTTGCATACCTCAGTGTTGGATTTATGGCTGTGGATGTCTTACATGGAGTCTCATGTCCTGGTATGAGAGGCTGTTTTGGGTCAGAACATCGAACCCTTCACACACAGCAGTTTACAGGCTGCTGGTTTGCGCGTACAAAATAATTTCAGTGTGCCGCCGGAAGTTGTTGTAGTTAATCAGGAAAAAGCTTCACCGCCCGTTACACCACGACATGGATAACTGTGCAGGCAATTGCCTAGATACACAATGTGTCACTACGTTGCACATCACAAATCCAAGTTTTATCGTGTTGCGGTGGTTTTATTTTGAAAGTTATAATAGGAATCCACTGTGTGGACAGCAGCAATGCAACCAGTCGGACGAGGCTATCTGGCCTTATTTCAGTGTTTTCCCCCTAAATAGCCTCTCATATGAAACAGCAGAACCAAAGGAAGTAAGTATGGTGCCGCAGGTAGCACGCAGGTAGTGGTGGTGATGGCGCTTAGATAAGATGCTTGCCTTTGGTGTGGGAGACCTGGGTTCAATTCCCACTGTGAGACATCCACCATTGTGTCCCTGAGCAAGACACTTAACCCCTTGAGGCGTGCGACCTCTGACATGTTACATGACATTGTAAGTAGCACGCATCAGAACAGC